TTTAGTTTCGCCGTTTTGTTGTTGCAGTCTAAGATTGCAGTATACGTTTCGCTGTATGTACATGTAGATCAAGTGATAAAGATCCCATGTGAGAGGACAGAAATAACAGAGAGGTTTATTTGGTATAACACAGTTATGAACGCTATTGTTAATATCTATCATTTAAGAAAAACCTTTTGTGGCAACACTTTAGTGAAATCTGATGAAAACAAGTGGAAAACATTCTTGAAGTATAGTGTCTTTAGCTGGGGTGTTTCTCTCATCATAACTATTGTTTATATTGTGTTTGTGAAAAAAGATGTTTTAAGATTTCATCCAGATAGTATAAGTTGTGTCATGGGTAATGAACGTCCTCTTTGGTTAGCTGATATGGAAAAATATGGTCTTCGGCGCTGTCTTTTGTTGTACATTATTATAATGTTCTCCTTCACTGCTTATCGAATTCGCCAAAAACTCAAAGCAAGCAGTAGCATTGCACAGAAATCAAATATTGTTAAGACTCACAATAGTTTTGTCCTTTTGCTTAAGTTGTCAACCACTACTGCCATTAGCCTGCCTCCTCTTTTATTCGAAAACGTGCATCTTGATTATGGCATATAGATGGGGTTATTTACTGTAGTATTTCTTACTGGCGTCTACATAGGTATTGCGTTTGTCTTCACCAGAAAAAATTTCAGGTTGCTTAAGTAAGAAGAAGTATTTCCCAGCAAAAAAGAAACCAGTTAAGTAAGTAAGCAAGTAAATAAATAAATAAATAAATAAATGAATAAATAAATAAATAAATAAACAAGTAAATAAATAAGCAAGCATGCACGTATCAGTAAAAGAAAAAACATGAGTGTATATAGAATAAGTAATTAATATAAACAGTAATCAATGAACATTTATAAAGATCTGATTAATTTAAAATCTGTAATCATGTGGAAACTTGTAGAAATTTTAACGTCATATTCTATCCAATGTGAAAACGCTCAAAATATAATGTTACAATTTAAAATGCATGTATACAGAATGAGTTTAAGATCTTTGTAGTATAATAAAGTTAATAAAATGCAAAATGTTGTGTTTTTTATTAAATTTCGTGTGGCGGATGGGATGTATGAAGGCATAGGAGTACGGGGTGACGCTTTCCTAGGGGGCAGTTGAAAGTTTGCCCAAATGTTCATGGAATATTGTAATGAATAACCTGAATTTAACCTATTTTCGAATAAATCCGCCCGAATTTTCTTCAATTTTCCTAGCATATGCCCGAATTTACATTGTTTTCTGAAGTTGTTTTTGCTCAGTGGACTGTTGTCTCCCCATTCCCTTTGAACCATATTGCCTATGTGAAGGTACTCTGACAGTCCCCAATTCACCCATGGAGAGTCTCAGCGTGGGGAAACATCTCAATATGGTTTTTTACGGGCGGATGTGTCTATTTTTTTGCGTTATGCAGACCAGAGGTAACGACCCCTTCTCTTGTGTCGGCATACTTAATAACAACACAAGTTAAATCTTCAGTAGAAGCTACAATGTATCCGTCAGTGGAGTCAACTAAAAGAGGAGCACAGGAGAGACTAAACTCAGTAGTAGGTTCTGTACAACATCAGATCACTTTAAGGTAGCTCACATTCAAGATCATGTACTACCTCTGTATGATCTAACCAACTGAGCAGTGAGTTCTGTACAACATCAGCTCACTTTAAGGTAGTCCACATTCAAGAACATGTACTACTTCTGTATGATCTAACCAAGTTTAACTCAGCAGAGAGTTCTGTACAACATCAGATCACTTCAGGGTAGCTCACAATTTTCAAAAATAAAAAAGTTGCTAAAAATGCACAGAAAGTCAAGGAATTAGTCTTTAATTTTTTCCTATTTTTTACCACTTTTTCAAAAATGAGAAAAGTGGCTAGAAATGGACGAAAATTATATGTCCTGAAAATTTTTTTTTAAAAAATAACAAATATTAAGAATATCATACGACAGTTTTGCGCTGTATCAATTAATTCGATATCAGCAACGTCAACAGACAACAGCTAAACATGGCCCGCCAAATTTAATAGTTCAAAGTTTATAGTTTATAATTGTATGTTGTATGCAGTTGAATATTGTATGTCTTAATGTTACTTATAGATGAACAGGCTATGGTGTATAAAAATTTTTAAATAATAATAAAAAAATAAGTCATCACATATCGTATTAAGCAGCTTTGTTCACAACCTCGTTTCCAGGCTCATATCCCTTGTGGAGAAAAGACCATGGTAGAAGCTGGTCACGTGATCTGCTAAAATCTAGCAGATTTTTAATAAATGATGTTGATAAATATTTGATATTTACACTTTAATTTACAACTTGCGTTTTTTTGCAAGTTTGATTTGATTTTAAAGGAATACAAGATAATTCATTAGAAATCTGATAGATTTTAGCAGATCACGTGACCAGCTCCTACCAGCGTCTTTCCTTCGCTAAAAGGTAAGAGCCTGGGAACGAAATTGCTTTGTTCAGTAGTTGATGTTTCAAATATTGAAATATTGGCCGCCCCTAAATGTCAAAAACTACTATCGCTCTTATCCTTTTTGTGCGTGAGGTGGTTACGTATCACGCAAAACTGCTGTGCACAGAATACTGTTATGTAGTATTCTGTGGTACTATTCTGCCTTTACTCAGCAGGCGGCACTTGACTTGCAGGTTAATCGACTTCGATGACGTCACGAGGCGGGACCCGCCCTCAAACTACTGAGTTCCAGTCTTCTCATGTGAAAAGTGCTGAAAATTAAAATAGAAGGCCCTAGGTCTAGGCTGTGTGCCAAGATGGCTGGATATACAAACGCTGTGAAATTTCGCGGATATGTCTCCCATAACCTGAAGTTCAGGCCCTAATTTGAAATAGGGCCTGACACAAAACCTATCTAAACCGTGGGACGCCCACATGTTATTTTTAGACACAGTCATACAATATGATTGACAAGTGTTGTAGTGTTGTAGATTGCACGAAAATAAATACAAAAAATATAAAGATATTCATTTCATGTTGGATTATTTGTTTTTATATTCTCATGAACATTGAACCGCTGAGTGTGCATTTTGCTTCTTAAACTTAAAAATTCAAGGTACTTTTAAGAGTTCAGTCTCTCTATTTATTAATTCAACCGAACAGCAAACAAAGATTTAGTCAGTTCTGTGCAAGGACTGAATGCAAATAGTTTTGTTCTCTGCGATCTACTTTCCGCAATTGGAATTAAAGTGCGTCAAGAGCAGAGTGGCTAAAGTAATTTGTTTCATCATTTATAAACGAGGGATCTAAACAAACGGCTTGAATACCAAGCTTTCTCAAGGTCTCAGCTTGCTGGACGCGGATATACAATTTTTAACGGCATAACAACAGCAATAACGAAATTATTTTATATCGTACCATGACGAAGGCGATATAGCTCAGAAAACAACGCCGGTAGGACCTGTTAATAAGACTTTCGCCGAAGCCAGTTGGCAGAACGGCAAAGACATCTTGGGCCTTGGCTGTCAACAACAAGCTTTCGAATACATGACTTTTGCTGTTCTTTCAGCGTCGTGTGTCCAAACTTCGTCAAAGATTTTGATAAAGCCCTTTCAAAATACTGTGTGTTTGATTTATTTTCTGCCATAAAGCATATTAAACAAAAGAAATTCGAAGAAATTCGACAATACTATTACGATAATCACAATGGAATTTGATCGTTTGACCTTATCACATTGACCGAGCTATTTATAAAATATTGTTTATGAGAACTTGCAACCAATCAAAATCTTTCATTACGCTGATCAACCAATCAGATTTCCCGTCCACCAGATGGACGGGAATCCCACGGTTTAGATAGGTTTTGTGTCAGGCCCTATTCTAAATTAGGGCCTGAATTTCAGGTTAGGTCTCCCATGACTATTCGTGCTAGCGGAAATTTCACCCCGTCCCCACACAAAAAAAGTGACGTTGCGAAATGTTTTTCTATCAGCATTTCTGAAATGCCAAAATAAATTTTGTATTTTCCTTCTTGTAACTTGTAAAATGCATTGCAGACCATCGCAAATTGTTTGCTTGAGAACATTAAAATATTTAAATGCTCTGCAATCCGCAAGTAAACATGAAAACAAGGCTTGTGGGTCATATCATGCACAGTACGCGACTGAAAATTTGCCGAATTTTGTGGCAACGGTTTTTGAACTATCAATATTGCTTTTCTATAGGAAGTATTACGCTCCCATCGTTATTTTATAAACCTATTCGTGACAAATGTCCGAAGCAGGTTGAAAAAGGTCATTGAAATATGAATATTTTAGCGCAACGAACAATTGTTTAATAAGACATATACTTGAACACACGGCATAAGAATTAAATTATTTGACAGTTTTGCTAATTAATACTTGGTTGCCGACGACACAATATCGTTAGAGTTTTGAAAGATGAGTAGAAATACCCACTCCGTCCTATATTGAAACGACAAGATGGCTGGGCATATAAATGCTCACGTATTTTCTTATGAATTGCCGATAAACCTACATGACTATATTCGTATATGTGCGGAAATATTAAACAAAACCCTCAAAATGACGGTGCAAATTTTTCTTTTTATCCAACTTTTTTAATTTCATTTCATTCATTTGTTGCCTGCTAATTGCAGACGCCATTAATAACTTCAAAAATAAACACAAAGTGCCACGCATATTTATGTTTCGCTTGATTGACTTACATATTTTCACATTTTTTACATTGTAAATTGTAGGTTTATAAATTCTATTCATTTCGCTCTGGAAGCCCTGGAAGCTACTTAATAACTCTACATTCTATCATTTAAAATATTTCATTGCCCTGACATTCCAGCTTTGGGGGTTGCCCCCCCACACACACCCCTCAAGTTTCTTCCCTAAGTGTATGATCATTAGTACAGCTGGTCACATCAAAAAACTCAAACTTGAAAATGTTTTTAAACTTTGTGTTTTGCCGAAATAATACTTAGTCGCTGAACGACGTTTCCAGTTGCAACATGGGTCGTTGCTTTAGCTTTCGACTCTTGTATCGAGTCGTTTTATTTTCCTTCTGTCTGATTTTCGCCTGTTTTTATCATGGTGGTGGTTCAGAGTATGACAGGCGAGAAGATAAAACAGAACCGAACAAATTAAAAGAAAGATTCAACGGTAAACCCTTGAATGCTGACGTTTCTCTCGACCGAGACATTGGCGTGCCTATCTTGACAGAAAATGCTAAACAAATTGATGGCGAGGATACGAAGAAAGAAACTGATCTTTCAAAGATGGCAAGAAAAGGTAAATTCTGAAAATGTGGGAATATTCGTTATTCATTTCAGAAGGAGTAACTGTCAACTACATTATTTTTTTTTAAGGAACTCTGATGAAAACACTCCGAAGTGAGAGAATACGGAAGAGCACAAAAATTCCCCCGTCCGAGGTAAAATTTTCAAGCAAAAAATCGACTACCACCTCCCATTCAAGTGAGACAAAATGGCAAAACAATGGCAGCAAAAACATATCTTCATTGGAAAATCAAATTTTTCACCAGAATGACTTGAGTGGAACAGCCAAAAGAGAAACATTGACTTCACTCACAACTCCACATCTCCGGAGCAGACGTGAAATTGATGCGATCTGTGAAAGTCCGAGCGAATGCGCCAATTTTATCTTAACTATAAAGTATGAAGATAACTATAGAGTATGGAACAACTTTTCAATCATGTATCAAGGTCGAATATACTACTTTTACATGTACAGAGTAACCGACGATGGTCTACGAGTTTGTACTTCTTCTGACACCGTCATCCAACAAAGGTGGTGGAATTTTATTGTTTCAGAAAAGATAATGATGGCTTCCAGATACTGCAATGCATCTGTGGACGGTTTTCACGTCAAAAATTACACAGTAGATAAAAACTTTACTGTTTTCTTCAAACCTACAGGGCAGAGTTTCACAAGGCGAGATTACGGAATGATTTTTGGACATTTTGCAATTTGTTCGGCAAAGCTTAGTCTGTCCTGCAATGATGATTTGGTCAAAGTAAAGTACGATGAACAATACAACGTTTTGGAAAACTTTTCGCTGTTTTACAACAACAAGATGTACGATTATCGTGAATACCGAATCGCAAGCGAAGGTCTTGAAATGTGTGCTTCCGATGATTCCAGAATCCAAGCACTTTGGATAACTCGGAATTCGTGGAAAAACTTTAAAGAGCGGCGGTATATATGCCGCGGATATGTTCGTAGATTAATATCAAAAGCAAGGCTGTACACTGTGACTAATCAGTTCACCGTCTATTGGGCACCTACGAGTCAATATTTCACAAGAAATGACTATGCGGTGATAAACGGTGAACCTAACATATGCGACGAAAAGTTCAGACCCGAATCAACAGAGTATACCCATGAAAATCTATTAATGTGCAACGATTCAATCATGAATATAAAATACGATGATGAGTACAAAGTTTGGACTGACTTTTCAATCCTCTACAAGAACAAGGTGTACGATTATACTGAGTATCGAGTTCTGAATGATAGCATAAAGATTTGTAACTCCACTGATAACGTCGTAAGGAATATTTGGAAAGTACGCAATAAATGGGTAAAGGTGAGAATGCATCAAAAAAGTTGCAATAAACCCATATACTTCTATAAGATCCCCCAAGAGCTTTATACTATTCGGAAGGATTTTAGCGTTCTCGTTTTGCCAACAGATCAGGTGATAGCAAAATACGATTATGGTGTGTTTGAACGTAAACTTGAAATATGTGAAGAAAAAGTCATAAAGTTTTATTACATAACAAGCATTAGGCTATCTGGAGTAGCACCATTATGTGCTTTAGCGCTTTCTATAATTTCTGTGCTATTGTTGTTGATAGTTTATTGCATGCTTCCTGAACTGCGCACTCTTCCTGGTTTGAATTTAATGAGTTTAAGCTTTGCCTTTTTGTTGTGGTTGACTTATATTGCAGTATTTTTGTTGCTGTATTTCCGTGTGGGTAAAGTGTTTATGTTTCCGTGCGACAAGTTGACCGTAACAAGTAAGTTTCTTATACATAACCTACTTATGAACGCTGTTGTTAATGTCTATCACTTAAGAAAAACCTTTTGTGGTAACACTCTCGTGAAATCTGATGAAAACAAATGGAAAACGTTCTTGAAGTACAGTCTCTTCAGCTGGGGTGTTCCTCTCATCATAACTATTGTCTACATTGTGCTTGTGAAAAAAGATGTTTTAAGGTATTACCAAAAGGATATTCTTTGTTTCAGTGGTCATGGTTTTCCTCTTTGGTTAACTATTGTGGAAAAATATGGTCTTCAAGGTTGTCTTTTGTTGTACATTATTGTAATGTTCCCCTTCACTGCTTATCGAATTCGCCAAAAACTCAAAACAAGCAGTAGCATTGCACAGCGAGCAAATGTTGTTAAGAAACGCAGTAGCTTTGTCCTATTGCTTAAGCTGTCAACCACCACTGCCATAAGCTTCTTTCCTGTTTTGTTTGCACCCTTGATATCACTTTTAAATGATAATATCCAAACAACGTTATTTACTGTAGTGTTTCTTAGTGGTGTCTACATAGGTATTGCGTTTGTCTTCACCAGAAAAAACTACAGGTTGCTTAAGAAGAAGTATTTCCCTGCAAAAAATAAACCAGTTAACGTGTAGTTGTAAAAATTGTGCCTTTGTAAGTAAGCAAGCAAGCGAGTAAGTAAATAAATAGGTCAATAAGCAAATAAATAAGTAAATAAGCAAGTAAATAAATAAATACGTAAATAAGCAAGTAAATAAATAAGCAAGTAAAAAATAAGTAAATAAGCAAGCAGGTACTCATCAGTAGAAGAACAAACATGTGTGTATATAGAATAAGTAATTAATATAAACAGTAATCAATGAACATTTATAAAGATCTGATTAATTTAAAATCTGTAATCAGGTAGAAACTTGTAGAAATTTTAACGTCACATTCTATCCAAATGTGAAAACGCTCAGAATATAATGTTATCAATTTAAAATGCATGTATACAAAATGTGTTTAATAAGATCTTTGTAGTATAATAAAGTGAATAAAAAGCAAAATGTTGTGTATTTTTTTATTAAATTTCGTGTGGCGGATGTGGTAAGTGAAGGTACTCTGACAGTCCCAATCCACCCAGGAAAAATCTCAACGTGGAGTAGGTTCACGATCCAGAGATTTTTTTGCCGGGGGGGGGGCATATTTTAGTGGTACGCCGATTAGAGCTGTGCCTTCCCCCTGAAATGCATCAGATCACTTTAAGGTAGCCCTCATTCAAGAACATGCACTACTGTACCTCTGTATGATCTAACCATGCTTACTGTAACTCAGCATTAATTTGTCCGCATGCGCTACTTATCTTCTTCAAAAATAAATACAAGAAAATAGTTTTACTTTAGGCGTTGAAAGATTCTGCCTCTCGTACGGAACATTCACATCAGGACTACCACAGGCGTCTTTTTCGTCTTGTGTTTGTCGACATTTCACGCACACTAATTCTTCTACAACGTTAGAAAATTCCTCCATGGCCAGTCTAACAAGGTCGCAAATTTCCAGCAAGGTCGGTTCAACAATGCTCTTATGAGATTTCATTTTCTGATGAGCCAAGTATGAAAATGACAAATTTCATGCATTATTAGTTAAACTCTGTTCAACTAATAAACATTGTTCAACTAATTTTTTTTAAAAAACGTTCCAGCTTACCAATTTTGATGTGACAATTTTTGTAAATGTTTTCCAACTCTTTATGTTAAATTGATTTTCAGGCAACTCAAATGCAAACTGGTCAAGCTTTTCAGCACCCTAAACAGAATAAGAATCGTTGAGAATGAAAAAGAAATTGTTTTCTTATTAATTTTTTAACTTTAGTACTTCTATTAAAACCTCTTTATTCCGCCTTTCTCTTTCCTTTTTCTTTGTTTCATTCATCTTGCTCCTCTTCAGCTCAACTTCATCTTCTGCCTTTCCTTTCGTCCTTACTTCCTCCCTCTCTGCCTTTGTTCCAACCTTCCCTTCCCCCCATCCTCCTTCTTCCTTTTCTTACCCCTTCTTTTCCCCCTCCATCCTCCTTTTCTTTTCCTTTCCTTCACTCCCATTCTTTCATTTCTTCCTTCTTCCTTCATCGTCCCTCTCTCCTTGTTTTCATCCTTTCCTTTCCGACCACCCCTCCTTCCTGTCCATTACCCTTTTCGTCTTCTTTCCTTTCTTCCATACTTCCTGTCTAAATCCTCCCATCCCGTTCCTCCATCCTTCCTTCCTTCTTTTCTCGAGTTTGTTCCCCCCTCCTTCACACTCCTTTCCCATTCTTCTTTCCTTCCTTCCATCCTTACTTACTCCCCCATCCTAACACTCTCCCCCTCCCTCCCTTCCTTCTACCACTCATCGTCTAAAACCAATGCTTCCGGTAATGTATTTCGTTCCTTCACTTACTTTCGCAATAACATACTGTACGCAGTTAAAAATCAACGTCGCTTTTCCATCAGCAGTCAAAGAATTAAAATCTTCTCTATAACAAAATTAAATCAATAGAACAGTGGTGAAGTCAATAAACGCAACATAACAAACAAAAACAACACATTTTAATGATACCTTCTTTGAAAGAAAAACACGTAACCAGACGCCGCTAGCTCTTGTAGTTTCTTCAGAAATTGAATTTCCTTTGAGAACATCGACTATATAAAAATACACAAAGAAAAGTATTGAAAACAAAACTAAATACATACTTACACTATACGTCCGGTATCGTTCTATACCGCTGTGAATATGCTAGCAATTTCTGAACGTATAAAAACGATCATGTGAAAAACTGAAACAGCACAGAAACATACCATTCGTAAAGCATTGCTTAATTTCATTTCAACTCTTTTCTTTGGTTTCTTGCGATATTCACGATCTGAAGTTTGAACAATTTTATCCAATGCGTCCTTGCCGTCAATCGCTAATTTTGTTCCAACCTCAACTGCATTGTCGATCCACATGTGGCACGTGAGTTATTTACTTCTACTGGGTAGGTCTATCAGTTTTAAGCTGTTCTTCTTCGAGGTTCAGTAAGGATCTCTTGTTGATCCAGTGTTACTGCTGGAGGAAATCTAAAGTAAACTAACTTTATTTATTCTGGATAGCTCTATCAAATTCTAAACTGTTCTCCAAAGAAATTTAGTAAGGGTCATCTGTTACTGATCAAGGGTCATCTGTTACTGATCAAGGGTCATCTTTACTGATCCAGTGTTACCACAGGAAAAAAAAAATTATTTATATTGGATAGCTCATCAATTCTAAACTGTTCTTCCCAGAGATTCGGTAAAAAGCCCCCATTATTCGTGGTATTTGGTAGAGTTAAACAGGTTACACTTTCTATGCGGAAAATCATGTCATTTCCTACTTCAGGGACTAAAAATCTGGTCAGATCTTTTTGTTCGTCTAGCGTTAAACACGACAAACTTTCCAGAATAATCTCAGCACATTTCCGTAACTTGTGCTCAAACGCTAGCAATCTGAAATTCATTCAAACAATAAGAGATACATCAATAGTCACTTTCTACAGACCAGCTTATTTTGTGTTTAATGACGTCATGTTGCAGTACGAATGATGTCTTTACTATTACAGCAGATAAACATATGCAGAATAATAAAAGATGGAATATTTTGTTCAGACCTTTTGATAATCTCATGCCTTTCATCTCTGGTCATTTCACTCTTGTATTTTGTAAACATTTCACAAAATAATGCAAACCTCGCCAGCGCTATATAAAGAGAGAGTAATGGACACCTTGATTTTCAGTTCCAATGAGACCACCTTCAGGGCCGTCACGAAGAAGCTTAAGCAGGTGGGGGGGGGGGGAGTATTTTATTTGCCAGCAAAAGTTAAAATTAAGCGGGGAGGGGGTTGGATGGGAGTGGCAGGTCTAATTCGATTAGACGACAAGAGTCAGTTCCGAAATATCACATACTCGAACCGACCTGACCGCGTAGCTCAGTTGGCAGAGCATTGGGCTAGTATTCCAGAGGTCGTAGGTAATCGATTCCCACCGTGGCCAGGCATATTTTCTAAGCTTGCCCGGTGTGGATATACACTGAGAGTAACATCACAAGCATCAAAAATGGCCGACAAAATCCTTCATTTTGCTGACAAGATGTTTTCAGAGGGTGTCACACCCCCAGTATCACCCCTCCCCCCCCCTAGCAACGGCCCTGACCATCTCTCAATTCACTTTAATAAAATTCAAATTTCGATTCAGCCAAACAGTACCTAATGCCACGTGTCGAGCAATCTGTTTGAAAGCTTCAAGAATGTTTCTCGCATCACAGAGTCCATTGCCATGAGGAGATTTAAAAGTATCTTTATTTTTCATGTCATTCACAACACTATAAGCTTCATCAATCACGCCATATATACAGTTGAGAATATTGTTTATTTCTAGAAAATGCACAAGTCAAACATTGAATAATAGAGAATTTGGACTTGGATTATGCCATTTTGATGTGAAGATTCTTTCAAGTGTGATATCATAGAAAATATTTTCGAGAGAGCTTAACGGAGGGTCTGAATGGGGTTAACTGACTACTGACATTTGCCTGAATTTTTGACTGACAACTGACAAAATATCCTAACTGACTACTGAGAAATGATGAAAAAAATTATAAGTCAGCATTTTGCAGGACTTGGATTATGCCATTTTGATGTGAAGATTCTTTCAAGTGTGATATCATAGAAAATATTTTCGAGAGAGCTTAACGGAGGGTCTGAATGGGGTTAACTGACTACTGACATTTGCCTGAATTTTTGACTGACAACTGACAAAATATCCGGCTTAAATTTTAGCTGACAACTGACACCCAAAGACCCCCATTAAGACCCTCTTAACGAGTACTCATTTGACTCGTCACTTGTGCGTATTTGAATTTGAAATCTTACTTCTTTTCAAAGCAGTCGATTCCAAATACTGGGCACAAATTTCATGCAATTTCTTCATTTTCTTGTTTTTTTTTCAAAAGCATGCGAATACTTTCCACAGTTTCTCCCCGCACATCAGATGGCAAACACCCGGCGTAGAAGTAATGTAGAGACACTTCTATAGCATCGGCAGGCCAGTTTGATAACGGAGGAGAGACTACGGACCAGTCGACTGTTGGGCAAGCTCAGAGAACAACTTTATGTGCTTCAAACTAAAAACAAGAAAAATTAACCCAGATAAATTGTGTAGAAGGATGGATGTAGAGGGTGAACAGTTTCAAATACTAGATTCCCCTTATTACGTGTTTGTAGCGCTTTGTATTGTGGTTATAGTGGTATCACTGATATTGAAGATGGCTTATTTTTTGTCCTGACCTGTGCAAGAACTTTTAAAAAAAGCTAGGGTCAGGTGCGCGATAGCCAACAGTAAAAATATTCGCAAAAACATTCAATATTTTCATTTGAGGCCGCTACCTTTATCACCGATACCACTATAACCACAATGCAAAGCGCTATGAAAACATAATAAGGGGAATCATCAATTGGTAGAGCTATCCAGTATAAAAAAATAATATAAGTTTGGTTTAGCTATTGGACTGTGGTACTAGACAGCGGACCTCCAACGAGGTCTTTGGCAGAGTATTTCACGTTAAATATCATGGTATATAAGGTATCATTTGTTAGCTTGAACGTCTTTGCAGTAAATAGCCGATCTTTACCTGTTGTCCACTGTCTGCAGTGATTGTTAAATCTGCAAACAAACCATTCTGAAGAACAGGAAGCAAGGAATAGGACGATGACGATAACTGAGAATTCATTTTATCTTATACAACCTATAAAGATGCAATGGTACCATACAAATCCTAATATACCGGTACAGCACACTATTTTCATAAATTTAGCAAACAAATGATGGAATTCCTAATGTTCTTTAACTCGGCCCTAATGAGTTGCATTTCACTTTAATGTGTTTGTCCTAGTCCTATTTCTATAACACCAGCAAATTTTATTGTCAAAGGGGGGAGGGATGATCATGCAGATCAAAGGGTCAACATACTGTATGTACCTTTTTAGACTTGAGTATGAGCATGGGTGAATATTGATAACGAATGGTCATAGTTGTCTTGTCTTTTGAAAGAGTCAGCTATAAAATAATTAATGAAAGCCTGCATAAAATAAACCACTTGAAGTGATGAAATATACAAGTTAACCCACCAGGCACATGACATGCTTTCAACATTGAATTTGCCAAAAATTCAACATCGAAACGTCGTAACCTTTCAATGTCAACATTGCTTAACAAATACATGTTGGTTCAACAGCAGCTAACATACGTCGATTCAACATCCATTCATGGTTCATTATATGACGTCAACTTGTCAAGTATTCTCACGCAGTTACATTGTTTTACTGCGGATTCATGCAGTTGAAATATTGTTAATGAGATTGGCAATCTAATATCAGCATCGTTTCAAGTTGCATTTTCAAGCTTTTCTCAGCGTCTATCCAATGTCTGGAAGGTCATATTTCAACATTGCAGCAACATCATTTTGCCCACTGGGAAATAGACAGTAACTTTGTACTTACTAGAAATGGTACAAGTTCACCAGTTTCAGAACCCAGAAGGTTCAGTTTCAATGCCAGACTATCTTGGTCACAATCTTTGTACTGATATTAAAATTGCAAAATCAGTGAACTTACCAACCATTTTGTTGAGGGGATTTGCAGATGGCAAGGGTGGGTTGACTACAAAATTTTTGTATTTCGCTATAACTACAGCTACTTCAATAACTACAGCTGCGATCATGACCACATGACCCCACAAGATGAACCCCAATGGCTTCTAAATAGAGAATGGATGAAAAGTTCATGAATATTGAGCTTTATATGTGAATCAGGTTAATTAAGTACAATAATTAGTTAACCTAGCTTTATATAAAATGTACATTCATGTTCTAATAATTGTATTTTGCTTCATACAATGCATATGTGCAGGGGCGGAGCGAAGACTATCCTTTTCGGGGGGTGCAAGACAACTTTTTGCCGACAAAAGGGCGTCGCTAGCGCGCGGTTAGGGCGTGGTCAAAGCGAACCGTATTCATTTTTAAGTGATGTACAACGATTAACTCCGAGTAGTAAGAAAATTTAATTTAATTTATTTTCAAAATGGGCGAAATAGTTCCGAAAAAAATTGAAAAAGCACATCCATTCGTCATCAAACGACCGATTACAAACTAAACACGTCAGTTTCTCTCTCTTCCGTTTGCGTTTTTGCTTGCTACTGTCCATAGTTTTAAATCATCTCCGTATTTATCATTGTATAACAGACCGTTAAGTGTAATTTCTAAGACCTTTACTGGCACCAGCTTTACAAGATTATGATATGAAGCGCAGGCGCATCGACAGTCAACAGTCAACACGCACATGTGCTTCGAATTTCCTAGCTATGATATAGACCTACTTCACCAAATTGCAAGAAAATATAATACTATTAAAAAGCGTATTAGCGTAATAAGTTCTTGGCCAATTTAGCTGAATGTTCGGAAAATTAGGGCCGAGCTTTCAGTCGACATACCCATCTTTTCGATCTCGCATTTTCTACAAATTTTCTACAAACAATCTCTCTCCAATCAGGTTATTGCCTATTGGCTTAATCCAATTTATTTTTCCGACAACTGATTTATTGTGCCGACGGACACGGCACTGGGGGGGGGGGGGCGGCACCCCCCGCACCCCCCTTAGCTACGCCCCTGCATATGTGTGTGGAAACATTACATCATTATTCAGCTCACTCCCCACATTGAGGCTTTTCAGTGACCGATTACATCAAGTACTAGGATTACTTATGTTAGCCTAGACTATTTATCTTTACAACAATGAGGATATGATATTACTTTCCTAACTGTGTTTATCCTAACCCACCCTGCCAATTTTGCCTTGTGGGAGGAAGCCGGAGCAAAATATAAAATTCAATTCCTTTGAAAACACCTGAATTGCAATCCCTAAGATTGAATTTTTTTCTTAAATCGCCTTAAATCGCATTAAATCGCAGTGCTTGAAAGTCCCAGGTTTTTCTTAAATCGCCTAAAATCGCCCAAAATCGCATTATATCGCAGCGATTGAAGGCGATTTACCGCCGCAGAGTAGGCCTTATTAACAACAATGTTCGCTGACGGCGTCTGAATATTTCACCGCCGTTATAGACTTATAGGTCATTAACCGATTCGATTGTTCAATTGTCCCCTATCGGGCTCCATTTAAAAAGCAAGACCTTCTCTTGATTTTTATAAAGTTTTATTTAAATTATGTGCGACACAAATTTGCACACCCATGCGTCTCTCTCTGACATACAACACCGAGCTATTGTCCAAGCGTTCAGCCACGAATCACACGAGGCGATTCACGTGACTATAATCAACCAATTACAATACGGACTATATAAAAACAAAACATGAAGTAATTCACTTATAACAGCATGTATTTGTCATTGACATAGCATGGCTGCGTTACAGTCCGCTAGTGCATGTTATAACTGTTATAATTTATAGTTTCCTGCCCGGAAATGCCTAAAATGTCAAAGCGAATTATAAACGTGTAAATACACAACTTTTGACGTTGTCCAAGATTGTATAGTAATGCGTTGACGCGTTTGCTACTGCAGTTTACTATACACAGGCTAACCTGAGTATCAGGCCCTCGGTATTGAAAGAGGGCCTGACACAATTCGCCTCTAAAGCCATGTTCAACATCCAGAATCTGGATGTTATGCTGATTGGCTAAGGGACGATAAAACGCATACTGTGATTCAAACGGGAAATATATGACCGGCGTATGTAAACACCAAAAATAGAATTTTTCTGTGTTGGTGTTGTGTACTCAGGTGAATAATATGTTTGCGATGTTACTCTG